ATCTCCACAAATATTCACCTGCAATCTCATACAGGAGCATCCTTCAGAGAATTCAATAGGCACCAACCATTCAGAGCATCCAAGCACCAAAGCTCCTGGGCCCCTGACATTAGGAGGTAATGTTTCTACTTCTGAATACATAACAATGAAAACAGTCATTGGATTAAATGATTTCCCTACATTATCACCATAAACAATAATTATTTGGCAGCTGCCCTTTGCAAGCATGGTGCACACTTATGAATAAATCAAGCCTTATTGATTTACTAAGCCAAAACGCTTTCCATTTTACTCTGCTAATAGGATCTCTAATCCCTCGCTGCACTTAGTGAGGCTTTAATGTAGTATGTCTCTTAATACTTTTAATATGAAAGATTAGCACTGGTTAGACCCACAGCAGGAATTCTGAACTCTCAACAGCCAACTGGCCACTGAACCCAGTTGTCTTTGAGCATGTCCTTGCTAATGAAGTTCTCTGACTGCTGATGGGAATCACATGACAAAAACTGGGAACGCTGCCTTGCTCACTTTCCTTTATAACATGTAATTTATGAAGGCCTACATTCATTCAAGGCTAGAGTCAAAATCATGCAGCAGGAAAGCATAGTACTGGAACTAGGTCTTTGTGCTCCATCAAACTGGCATCTAAAATCACAGCATCTGGATTTGGGGATGTAGCTCAGTTGGTACGGTGTTTGCTCAGCATAGACAAAAGCCCTGGGTTCACTCACTAGCACCCCATAAAAGCCCTGTGTCAAACAATGGAGCAATCAAATTGCTCTTTTTAATGCAGACACAACTTTAGATAATCCAAATATCCTGAACTCAGCTACTTCAGACTGAGAAGGGACCTCCTTTTTCTCCTCCTACAGAACAGTAGGCAAAAGCTCACACACTCCCAGTTGACAATTACCATTTGTTCCCTGGCCACTCATTAGGGGATTCTTAGTTATCTTGATTGAAAAGGAGAACAAAAGTCTCTAATTATTGATTCACAGGCATATTCTATCCTAGATACGACATGGTTGTTAGTTTTTAACTGTTAACTTGGTGGATCTAGAATAACCGAAGGTAAGAGTGGATTGAGTAATTGTGTAGATCAGATTGGTCGGTAAACAAGTCTATGGGGGACTGTCCTAATGTTAACTGAGATATGAAGACCAGTGCTGAATGTAGGTGGCACATTTCACTTGATGGCCCCTGGACTATGTAAGAGTATTGGAAGCAGGCAAGGATATGCTAATTCTCTCATGGCTTTCAGTAATGCTTTCCGTTCCTGCCTTGATTTCCCCATCCTAATGGACTGTAGCCTGGAATTGTGAGCCAAGTAAATGTTCTTTTCTCCAAGTTGCTTTTGTTAGGATAGTTCATCACAGCGAAAGAAATAAAAAAGTAAAACATATGCCTTTTTCCAACAAGCACGCCCATTTATTCTTGTGCTTTTTGTGGATTTTTAAACTGACATGCATAATCCTAATCCAAAAACAACTCCACATACCTCATTCATAAAGTAGGAAAGTAAGCAGTCACACTGTCCTATTTTTCTCCTTTAACCAGAATCACAAATGCAAGGAGGTTGGACCAGCTAGCTCCCTAAGATTACAATACAGAAGCCCTTGCGTCAAAGATGGAGAAGGCTGGGATCCTCAACCACAGAACTAAGTTAATGGTGGGTTCTCCTGAACACGCTGATCCTTAGTCCACTGCAGCATCTCTTTTTTTACTTTGATTCCCAGTGTCTGTAAGAAGCCTCAGTTGGACTGCAGTGTTAGTTCAGTCAGTGAAGTTGTTGCTTTGTAAGCTCAGCAACATAAGCCAGATCTCCAGAACTCAGGCCTGGCAGCATGTGCTTACAATCCCAGTGCTGGTGAGGCAGTACCCCAGGGCTCCCTAGACAGCCAGCATTACCTAACCGGAGAGCTCAAGGCCAATTAGACACTCTGTCTAATAAAAAACAACAAAGTGGATAGCCAAGCGTGTCCTCTGGTTTACACACACACACACACACACACACACACACACACTGTGTGCACATACATGCCTCCCATCACCATGGAGCCTCTCAGACAAAAACATAAGGTCCTGGATTGCTATTTCATATTTTGCAATGCCTTTTAAATTCAACCACAACAAAGATAAAGATCATTCAGGCGCAGGTGCAGTATTTACAGTATTAACTCACTAAGAAAACCATAGAATAAAATCCATTCAAAACACAGATCCCCCTTGTCCCTTTGGAATAACCACTGCCTTTGGTTATGAAGCAATAATTATCCCTCCCCACAGAAATCAATAAAACCTCTTGCCCCATGAACCTGCTATTTCCTGACTTTGTCCTCTGAACTAAAGATTCCCAAGTCATATTGATTACATAGTAAATTTTTTTAAGTTCCTTACAAGACAGCACTGAGGAAATCCTTAAGCTAACAACATTTACCATTGTTTGAAAAGACTTCTACCTTTCCATCACATTAATGGCCACCCTTTTTCTAGGGTTTTTTCATTTTTCATTTTCATCTTGTCATTTTAAGGGCGTCTTTGTCTTGGCTAATAGCACAGAGTCTACAGGATGCAAATTTGATGGTGTTCCTGAGACTTTAACAACTGTCTTATTTTTCTTCCAAGTGAGAGAGGGGAGATGATGAATCGACTGTGCCTAGTCTCCCCAGGGACAGCAGAGACCATCTCAGATGAACCCAGAAGCTCTTAGAGCATAAACATTAGAACTCCAGAACTCCATAGGGGGGTCACAGAAGCAGCTATTGTAAAGTGCAACTACCAGGCTGGGGAGAGGAAAGCAAAATGCCCCAATGGATAAAGGTGCTGCTGCCAAACATAGGCCCTACATAGGAGAGAAATGACTCCTGTATATTGTTCTCTTGTACACACAACACATACACACAAATAAAATTTTAAAATATGACTTTTTTAAAAAGTCCATTGAGGGTTATAGTAGATGAGAACGGAGAATAACTTCGAAGTGGTAAAAAAACACCTCAGACCTTGATAGTAACCCTGTTTGCACAACCTTGTAAATATGGTTAAAAAAATAATAATCACTGAACATAAGCGACAGCTTTTATAACACATGAGTTGGGCTTTAAAATTATACAGGGCTCAGGGCACAGTTCAGTGGTAGAGTGTTTGCTTAGTATTCTCAAAGTTCCTGCAACATTAATTAATCAATTAAGTTATATTAAACACACACATAATTGAGATGTGAACAACACTAAGGTCCCAATAGCCTTGTTTATGAGCACAGATCAATTCTGACCTCAGGGAACAGTGGGAGAAGGAGATGGAAGGAGGCAAGTAGTTCCAGGCATAGGACTGAACAAAAAGGATGCCCTCTCTCTCTTTTTTCTGAGACAATAAGGGGTCATGGTGTCAGCTGAGGTCAAGGCAATGGATACAACCCTGACAAATGTCACAGAAAGGCGACTCTTGAGTTTCAGGATTTTATGACCCCTCTTTAGCAAGCCATCAATTATGCATAAGAAAGGGACAAAATAAAAGCTAGAGACTGTTCTCCCCAATCAGAAAAATCATACCAGCGGTGTGGGGGGAGCAAAGGAGAGAGGAGAGGGGAAAGAGAGAAAAGGAGAGGGAAAGGGAAAATGACAGGGAGAAGGGAAAAAGAGGGGAAGGGGAAAGATGGAAAAGGAGAGGGAAAGAGATTACTACAAAAGAAGAACAGCCATCTGGGTATGGTGATGCAATATCCTTGGGAGACAATAGCAATGCTGTTGGGTACCACCAATGCTACGCTCATACAATATACCAGAGATCAGAGTCAAATACTTGGTTGACTCAGTTCTCACAGATCCATAGGAACTTCTTCAATGCCTTCTTCCCAAGCAGGAGCCCTCAGCTTCAGCACTTCAGGAAGGTTGAACCTGAGAATACTTAATTGTGGAGATATCCCATGCATTGGAGGAGGCTCAGGGGTGTCTCTGGCTTAGTCTCAGTACGTGTTGGTAACATCTCCCTCCCATCAGGGCCAGAATACCCCCAGACATTACCAGATATCTCCTGGGGGAACATCTGCCCTAGTAAGGAACCACTGCTTTGTGGAGACTGAACTGATCTCATATCTATATGAGCATGGACCACTGCTTTGAGTGATGCCAGTTCTCAGCAGTTTATCTGTCTTCCTGTTTCATAACCTCAGTCTCCCCACAGTAAGAAAGGTCAAAAACTAAATGTAGGGCTTGTGATGTGGCTCAGTTGGTAGAGTGTTTGCCATGCATGCAGGAAACCCGTGGTTCAATCCCTAGCACTGCATAAATTAGGCAGTAGTGGCAAATATCTCTAATCTTAGCACTGAGAAAGTAGAGGCAGGAGGATCAGAGGCAAGGTCATCAGTCTGGGCCACGTAAGACCTTGTCAAAAGCAAGGGAGGGGAAGAGAAAAGAAAGCAAACAAGCAAACTTAGGGAAGAAGCCAATGTAAGGGGGCTGGAGAAGTTGCTCAATGGTTAGGACCATGTACTACCATAGTAAAGGATGTAAGTTCAGTTCTTAGCACCCAAATCAGGTAGCACACAACTCAATCACCTGTAACTCCAGCTCCAAGGAATCCAATGCCCTTTTCTGGGCTCCTGAACTCACGTGCACATGGCTACACACACATAAACATACACATACTCTCTCTCTCTCTCTCTCTCTCTCTCTGTCTCTCTCTCTCTCCTTAGCATCCAGCTTAACTTCCTCTCCTACCATCCAAAGACAACCTGGGAATAGTATTGAATCTTTTTTTCCTCCTGTGTGACCCAAATGACTGAAGATCAATAGCATTTCTAGTAAACAGAACCCACCACCACCTACCCCCCGCCAGAGCATCTGCTAGATGAGAAAGCCCCAGATATTTTAAAGAACTGAGAAACCTTTGCACTAAACCCACTTGGGGTTTTCTACAAGGTTCTCTCTGTCCCTTCAGCAAGGACAGACATCATGAAGAGTGACCTCCTTGATATCAAAGCCTTCGGAATGTGAGCTCACCATCCGGGGGCATCAACACCTTGTTGTTCTGTGTGCACCACCCCACAGGGTGCAGATCTGCTATGATCACGTCACACCAGAAGTCTGCCCTTCGGTCCTCCCCGTAACCACAGTAACGCAGAAGCAGCAGCTGTCCACAGGTGGTGATGATCGTGGCCACCCAGTAAGTGTCTGGATTATTCTTATTGGCCACCTCCAACTTCATTCCTGGCTGGAAGTTACTCTGAATGCTGATTTCCACCTTGAAACATCAGAAACACAAGGAAAACACAAGTGATCACACTAGCCATGTGCCTTGAATGGTTTGAGAACTACTTAAGCAGAGAGCATTTTAAAACAGTACTTCTGCCGTCCTAACATAGGTATGTTTTAAGACAAATGGAACACAAGGCTCCAATGCAAGGCTAAGTCTTCTGGAAGCCACATTCAAAGGAAAGATAAGACAAGTTTTATTTCACCCATTAAATTCAATAGTTTGTCATTTCACTATGAAAGTAGTACTATAAAAACTGAATGAGCCAGGCATAGTGGTGCATATCTGTCATCTCAGCAGACACAAATATTTAGGTCAACCTGGGTACACAAGCAGACCCTGTCTCAAAAACGCCAAAGGGGAGAAAAAGTAAAAAGGGATGAAAATGTGGCTCAGTTGGTAGGTATGCTCCCTGAATTTGATTCCCAATACAGCATCATTTAAAAAAGGGGAGGAGGGCAGGTAGGAGGAGGCAGAAGGAACAGAAGTTCAAGGTCATTCTTGGCTACATGGTAAGTTTGAGACCAGACTAGGCTACATGGGACCCTGTATTTTTTTAAATAAGTAAGGGCTAGTGGTTTTGAATAAAGGCTCCCAAGATCTTGAGTTCAATGAACAGCATGTGTCAATTATAGCTACATACTCTTCCATGTGATCCAATTTTTCTCTGTGCCAAGAGCCGCCACCAGGATGAAAAATAAAAATAAAATAAAAAAGTTTTCCAACCTGGAGTTCTTAACATTCTAAAGCCATGGATGTGAGGCTCACCATAAGGGGGGGCCTTGAAGAAAGCAATGGGACAGTGAATTAGTTATCTGTGAAACTGAGACTACTTTTCCTGTCACTCTTTCACTCAGGCCTGGGACAGTCAACATCTTCAAGGATAGATGTCTGCCTCATCCCTCAGGAATACAGACATCCTGAAAGATGACCACATGTTCACCCAAGCCTTCACCATTTGTTGGCATCTACTTCAAGTGTAAAGGACATGAGAGAAGTGATGAATCAGAGAATGGAGGTGACTTGTTCCTGAAGACGTGACTTCACTGTACAGAAAAGGTGAAAGTTGTTCATCATCTTTCTTTCCCAAACTGCCAGAAGAAAACTACCAGATCATCCCGGGATCTTGTCAGCCTGGCTTCTGCAGGGTCATTATCCTAGCTGTGTAAGCCAAGGAGAGGTATTGCTTTTGCTGTGCCTGGAAATGGAGCGCCTGCTTTCACTACATGACTATAACCATGATCAGAATAAACCATAGCTTGATGAGGACAGAGAAGAAAAAAGGGGTGGAATCTTACAAATTTAATAAGGTCTTAAATTATCTTTCAAAAGAACACTTCACTTCTGAGTAGAACTTAATGTGGCATTCTTACTTGAGCTGAGAAGCCAAAAAAGGAAGTTAAGAAGGTTGAGTTGCTGCTGGGGTAGCCTGATGAGAAAACAGATGAGAGGTCCCAGAAGTAAAACTTTATTTACTAAAACAATAGTCATGTGTAACAGCTTGGGTTTGGGGAATATCATCTTTCCCATGCTAGAGCTATAGAAGCAAGAGCTAACACCTAGGAAAATTCTGGCAAGAACTCATGTTCCTTTTTCCTAGGCTTTGTCCACTGGTGAACATGCTAGCCAAATTATACAAACAGATATTATTATTATTTTAGAGAACAAACTTCATGAGACACACATTTTCAGACTATCTATTGTGATTCCTCTTCCCTATGAATTTATCTTCCCTATGAAGCCTAGAAAACTCTAATGTGACTTTTAAAAATTATAATAGCAACCTTTAAAAACAAAAAAACAAAGTATCATATGGCTCGGGCTAGCCTCGAGATCCCTACATTGCCTGAGACTAAACTGCTAATCCTCCTGCCTCCACAGTCCCAGTGCTGGAATTACACAGATGCACCACAACACCTGATTTTAGGCCATGCCAGGGATCAAACCCAGGGTTTCATGCAATTAGGAAAAACACTATCAACTGAGCCAAGTCCCCAGCCCCAAATATTACCTCCTTATAAAAAAAAATATATAGTCATTGCATCAACCACTGTAACATCTTGCCTAAGTCGGTGACTTTTTGAGGCTCAAGCTGTGACCTATTTCATGCATAGCTATCTATGAAAACCGAACTTCCCTATGTCACCTTCTTCCTATGCAACCTTAGCTGCATTTCCACTTCTTTCATTCTCTTCTGACTGATTTCTCAATCACCGACAGATCCCCCTGCCTTCCCTCCCACACACCAGAAGAGCAGCTCAGTGTGAACGTACATGCCTGAAGGATGAGTGTGGCACCGCCCTGGTGCCTGTTTCTTCCAAATAGTCTCCCCAGCTAAAGCCGTTTTCCTCCAGTCCGGAACCTTCCTCTGAGGAAACAAAACAAAGCAAGAACATCAAAACAAGGGCAAAGCATGCCTGGGAGACACAAACTGATTCAGATGGCTTCTTTGGTAAATTGCTTGCTGTCCAAGGATGAGGACCTGAGTTCAGACATCAAGAACCCACATAAAAAGCCATGCTGGGTAACACACAAATATATGCAATCAAAGGGAGAGAGAGACCTGGAAATCCCTGGGACTCACTGCCCATCCAGTCTAGCCAAGTCAGTGAGCTTCAGAGAAAGATAAATGATATGGAGAATGATTAAGGAAGATAGCCAACATTGATGTCAGGCTTACATAAAGAAAGTGACAGAGACAGAATTACAGAGAGATAGAAACAGGGACAGAGAGACAAGGAAACATTTTGATATCCTGTCAAAATTAAAAGCTTTCAAGTCAAATGAATAAGAGTTGTCTTAAAGTTAACATGGATTAGCCTAACAGCCATGGTAGACAGCCCAGTTTGTGAAGACTGAAAGAAATGGAAAGGGACACTTCAAGCCCAAGGTGTTTGCCAAGATAGACACAGGCACCAAACTGCCTACCCACTAAGGCTGGAGGCTGGAAAATAACAGATTTTTATAGAACTGTGACCTCAATAACATTTTAAGAGAAATAAATTGGGCTAGAAAGAGGGCTCAGTGGTTAAGAGTGCTTGCTGCTCTTACAGAGGACCAGGTCTGGTTCCCAGCATCCACATCAGGCAGCTCAACTACCTGTAATTCATATGCAAGAGAGAGAGTCATAAGTATTCTAAACTGACATAGTTCTGCACACTTAGGATTTGAGAAGCACCAAATAATACACTTGAAGACAACGACAGCATAAATGTCATGTTAGAATGGTTACAGCTAAGCAGCCTGTGATAGTGAATGTCACTGTTGGCTTTAACTGTATCTGGAGTCACTCAGGAGGCAAAGCTCTAAGTATCTATGAAGAAGTTTCTAGGTTGGGTTACCTGAAGAGGGGCACCTCGCCCTAAGTGTGTTTGGCACCAGTTATGAACTGGGGCCTTGGCATGGTTAAAAAGGAGAAAGTGAGCTGAGGACCAGCATCCATCTTGCTCTGCTTCCTGAGTGAGGGTGCATTGTGACCAGTCACCTCGAGTGCTTGTCACCATGACCAATCATACAGTCACACTGTGAGCCAAAGACAAATCTGTCCACCCACAGCAACAAGAACAACTAGCTAATACATGGCTGTGCATGATTTTCACCCATCTTCGAGGCTGTCGTACAGAATATACAGAATATACAGTATACAGAATATACAGTAGTGAGAATTGAACAGGCACATGGAAGGAACGTTTCAAATATTCCACTTTTCTTGTCTTACAAGAAATCTCACAGGGTGTTGACCTTCAAGCCACACATCTTTCCCAACCAAGAGCTGATTCCCCTGGCAAAGAGAAAGTGCCATTTCCGGCATGTGGCCCTCTCTGTAGTGGTGTACGCACTCAGGAGGGCCAGAAGGATTGGGACCAGGAGGCTTGTAGAAACAAAGGTTAACTGTAGCATTTTTTTCCAACAATTTCTTCAATTATCAGGAAAAAAAAAGAGGATTTTCTTGTTATACTCTACACAGACTAAGAAATAAATAGAAATGATATTTCATTTTATAATCAGAAAAATGCTAATATTACTTTTTAAGATGAGTTTTAAGACTCACCCTGTAGCCCAAACAGGCCTCAAATCTGTGATCCTCCTGTCTCAGCATCCCCAGAAGCTGGGATGGCATATTCCTGAACTACCAGAAAAGCAGCTCTTGGAAGGTAATGACCTTAAATGTTGCCTTCTTACTCTAAGTTCCTTACAGATGCCTCTTAGCATATGCCAATAAATACACTTAAAATCAAACACCCAAGAGAACACAGCCATGCCTCTTAAAAAAGTTTCTAGGTCCCAAGCCCCAACCTAAGCAAGAAAGATACAGGGCTCAGAGCATCTAAGACACACAGAAGCAGAGAGAATGCAGTCATTCATTGTGGCAAACAAAAACACTTCAGAAAAGTAAACCACAAGTCAGACCCAAAATGAGATTAAATAACACAAAAACTGTTATGTCCAGCACTGGTAACGCTAGCCATGCTGTTGGAATAATAAAGCTGTATACAAAACCTAGGTTTACTCATAACACAGCCTGTTAAAATGTGCCACATACAACCCCTCCTCAGGCCTGTATCCCCAAACAGTTGATTCTCTAAAGGCAAGTCCAATGAGCAATAGGCAAACACACACAATGTTTATGAGAGATCTCATAAAGCCAGAGAAAATATTTACAGCTGATCCATAAACCTCTTAAAGCCACAAACATTTTACTAAAGAGACTCTGACAGTTCCCACCACCATAAATGAAGTAGTGGGCGGCATTTCCCCATGATGTCATGAAAACCCACTATGAAAAGCTACTATGAACATTTCACACCTTACAAAGGAAACAGGCATATTCACTAAACAGCAGTCCAGTCTAAAAAGAAGGCTATCTGTAGGACCAGAATATTCCAGCATAAATATAAAATGAATGTCTTATGAAATGCCGGAACACAAGTGACTTTAGAATAAAAATATAATAAAGTGCCGTACACATCTTTTTCTTAATAAAATCTGGAATCAGCTCACTTTACAATCTGAAGGGAGCCTGGCTTCGCAAGGCTGGATATTAAAGCCTGTAACTGCCACAATCCAGGGCTCTGCAAACTGGCAGATTCTGCATAAACAAAATCTCCCAGAAGACAATCTCTCACGTGCTAGGTAACTTTTGAAATAGGGAAAGAGATAGGAAGAAGACACTAAAGCATCTCTAGATCCCGGTAGCTCCTCCTATGACCAGGAGAGGAAACAGCACAACTGTGAACAGCAGTCTAAATAATCAGAAAGGAGCTGCAGCTGCCAGTCCACCGTGGATCTGACTGAACACACAATTGCAGCCTGAAGTTCAAGGAGGGAATGCATGGGGGTGCGGGTATTAATATTGACCCACAAGAACTAGTTCTCAGGATTAAGAATAAGCCCTGAATCTTTCTAAGTGTTGACTCATGCTCTCCCAAATAAAAGAGGCCTGCTTCTTTGACCAGGGCAAGGTACTACGGGGGCTGAGGCAAGAAAAGTGTGAAGTTCAAGCAAGCGAAGTACAATCACAGAATTAGTCCTGTCTCTTAACACACAAACAATGCATATGGAGAGAAATACATTTAGTATACATACACAGTCTTTGTTTGCGCACTTGTATAAGCATGTTCATCTATGTGAGTATGCCTACGACTGTGCACGTGCAGAGAACAGAGGTCAATGTCAACTGTCATTCATCAGGAGCCCTCCACCTGGTTTCTAAGACCTACCACCTCAGCCCTGTTATTTTTCATAATTTGGAAGACTCAGTCCACGTGTTTTGCTCTCTTCTTTTTACCCAAAGGCTGGCCTTGGCTACATGTGCAGTACCACAAGCTCCACTGGGGAAGTACACTGAGCAGGCCTGCGCAAACCACGTCATGGAACCTGCTTATCATGGCATCCCCACATTGTTCTGCTTGATGTTATTCTGACTGAAGACACCCAGAAGTCCAGCCATCAAATTTCAATGGGCTTCATTCCTGTGTCCCTCGGGGTGTTGTTGGGGTGCTCTGCTTACTGGGGAGACCTAGGCTTCCTTGGCTATTTGTTTATCTGTCATTACGTCAGGCACACGCTCTCTTTGTTTCTGGGAAGGGGTGGCCTTTCATCTTATTTCAAGAATAGGCTTCACATTTGAGTTATTGATCCCAGCTAAGATCTGAACTTTCCCCAGGAAAAGCCAAAAGTGAAAGAAAGGGAAAAAAAACTACTCAGTTCAGTCTCAGCTGGGACAGATCTCATGGAAGACTCATCACTGCAAGGAGTTAAATCAACCAAAGGCACAGAGTGGACATAGTAGACTGAGTAGACAGAACACAGAGTGGACAGAGTGGACAGAACTAAGTAGTAAGGGAAGGCCCTAAAGCTACCACACAAGTTTTCTTGATCATCAGACAGGAGCTATAGACACTTGTGCTTCTCTCTCTCTCTCTCTCTCTCTCTCTCTCTCTCTCTCTCTCTCTCTCTCTCTCCTTCCTTCCTTCCCTCCCCCTCCCTCCCTCCCTCTGTACTGAGAGCTGAACCTGAGGCCTTACACATCTCATATCATGCTCTACAATCCCCAGCCATATCAATATATATATATATATATTTGGAGACAAGGTCTCAACCAATCCCCAAGGTATTCTTATACTCTGTAACCCAGGCTGGCTTCAAGCTCACAATCTCCTATCTCAAACCCCCAAGTTTAGGATTATGAACCTGCAAGCTACAGTCTCATAGTGTTGTCACTTGCTAAGAAGATGCCATCATGTGTCATGTAACAGAGGGAGAAAGGATGGCAGAAAAAAAGAAAAAGGAATCTGAGTGGTGTAGGGAGGAGGAGGTCATAATTCTTAATGAAATCAATGCACCATCTCCAGGACTTGAGACTAAATCCTGATTCCAACCACACAACTTGACCGTGCTGACTGGTTTCCTCATCTACAAATGAGATCTGAAAAAACACTTTACTAGGCACTAAAGATTAAGTCAACTAACATGTGAAGGCCTCTAAAGTATGAGCACTTAACAGAAACCATGCTTACATGTCTACTGGCCTAATTGACAAGTCCATTTAGATCCCACTGAAGTACATCAAGTATGCCCTACTTTGCACATCCAGAAAGATCATCTGATTCTAAGCATCCCTAAGCATGTCCCAGTGAGTTGCACAACCAGATGACTTCTTAAATGACTCTAAAAAGGAAGGCATTTCATGTTTCAACAGGTTGAAAGAATAATGACTTGAAGAATCATACTTGACCATGTTATTGTCGTTTTAATGCTCAAAACTACATGTGATTTTGAGACTAAAGCCTGTCTGTGTAGTCTATAAAGTTTTACACTCTCTTTTAAAATTTGTGGCACTATGTTGCACCCATGAACTCCTGACAATATGCTTACCCACACAAAACCACACCAGCCAATATTCCAGTATGGGTGGGGAAAGGGCACATAGGCCCCACCCATAGTTGAAAAGCTACAGGATGTGGATGGCTACCAAGACAGAGTCTGGCTTTTTTTCTGGAAAAAGACCCCTGATAGTTTGCCCATGCCCAAGTGGTCAGCTACATTCAAGGATATATGAGTAACACTGATGGGACTCAATGGGGTATACAGGCATATCAACAATAATTATAGATAAAGAAGGCATAAATTTAAAAGACAATGGGGAAACACAGAAGGAGCTGGTGGTAGAAGTATGGTGGTGGTGGGAAGAAGCTGGGGTGGGTATGGTGTGAAAATACATTGTACTCCTGTATGAAATTCACAAGCAAAATTTTAATTTAATCTGAAGAAACTGCAGCACTATCAAAGCCTCCTTATCACAATGCATGGAAATGCTAAGAAACAGGGACACATAAGCCCTTAGCAAAGTGGGGAAAGACCTGAATCAGAAGCTGCAAAATATGAACATAATTTAGAATTATTTAGCAATCTTAGTATAAAGGATTGGAACATCTTGTATGATTTAAACCATCCACTACACAAGAGTAAAGAACAAATCATGAATGAGTATCTACCATGGGTTTTCAGCCTGGAATCCCCCAGACTCTGATATCATTCTGTCAGTAAGAATAATTTCCTGACAGTAGATTATCAGTAATGAGCTTCAGAATCTACTTACTCTGGAGAGAAATATGGCAGCTGTGTGAAAATGAAAACTTATCATTGAAAATGACACAGCCACAGACAGCGATGCGTGCAGAGGATGCACTATAAAAATACAGGAAATGCCCAGGAACTTTCATAGTGCAAGATGACTTTACTGAGCAGACATAAAAAAGACTGAGGGCAGCGGGAGAGCCACGGAGGTGGTACTGTGAAACAGGAAGACTTCTTACGGAGCCAGGCACACATGTGGGACACTGAGGCTGACGTGGGTTTGCAAAGTCAGAGCATTGAGAGAGATGGCTTTGTGGCAGATGCCTGATGACTAACCCCCACACATCACCCACAAACTTCTGCATTAACTATTATTAATAATCAATTCAGATAAATAAGGTGGAAAGCTCCTGGAAAAGACACCTGAGGTCAACTTCATGCGCATGCTTGCACACAGGGTAGAGGACAGGGAGGCAAAACTACAGTTCAAGGAAAGAACAATCAGTATGAACCTTGAGCCTCACAGCTTAGAAAGGCATTTCCATTTTTCTGCAGGGAGGCAAGGTGCCAGCTGTGCTTATAGAAGTTTCTTACTCATCCTTTATATGGAGAAACACTAGAGGGAGTGGCCTGATGCTGAAGCAGATTCTACATGCCTTTATCCTGTCAGATACTCCCTTTCTACAGCTTTGCAGAGAAAGACTGAATGGAGAAACCTGATCTGATAAACTCAATGGTATCAAGCAATTTTTGATTCTATCATTGACTAGTTTGTTCAAAACATGAAAATGGAGCCAGCAAGATGGATCGGCAGGCAGGTAAAAATGCTCGTTCCCAAGCCTGAAGACTGAGTTTAATCCCTACTACGCACATGCTAGGAGTGACCTCACTCCTCCAAGTTGCATTCTGACTCTTACCTTCACATATGCACCCTGGCATATGAGTGAACGCACACACAAACACACATGTACATGCTGTCATTTAAAAGTGAAGACAAATTTTGTAATTTCATTAGACAACCGTCCACTCTCTCCCCTAAGTTAATGGGCAACGTTATGTATTAATTCACTGTAGCCTTTATTTAATTTGCTAATATATAAATCATACAATTCTATTTTCAGAAAAAGTATCCTTTTAAAATAAACCATTGCATAAATATTTTTAGAGATGCACTTATAAATTCATTAAATATTAAAATCCAATCAAACACAATCTGATTTTTTCTATTTATTTTTTATTTTTTTGCTTTGTTTTATCTAATTACATCATACAAATGCACATGACCTAAATTTCTTTCACACTACACACTTTGCCAAGCCATGTTCCATACTTTGGAGGGTGTGTCAATGAAGTCTCATCCCCCAGCTCTTCTTTTCCCTTTGAAACTAACTTGGACACTGCTAAGGTCCAACACTGAGGCATAGTGCAGTCACTAAGTATGAGAGCATCATGACAACTGTCAGGAGAGCACAGATATTTATAGACATTTACTAGCAAAAAGCACCAGCGCTTAGAAGTGTTGTGTCACCACGCTGTAACCTAGCCCACCCAAAATCTTCATAACTTGAAAGCTGCTGTATCTGTAGACATATGGCTTGGTTAGGACAGCAAATGACAAGAACTGGTAGTAGATGAACTCTAGAAATGCATCCCCATTATTCCGGAATAACTCAAGAAAATAATGGTCCATGAGCCAAATTTTTAGAAAAATCAATACGCAGAATCTTACCTGAATCAAGATCCCCATTCCCATTTGCTGGGCCGGTTTGTTTTTCCAATGATGAGGATGAGTTTTGCATCTTCGAAACTGGCAAATGTCTGTCCATGCTGACGAGTATGTGCCCTCTTCCCTTAGTTCATCCTGCAGCAAGTTATCTAAGGGCAACCAAAAACATCACAGCACTTTAATCAGATGCATCAAATGAACTCACTTGGCATTCCTAAGGTAACAACAGAACCCTAGCAGAGTGGCCACCAACTCATTGTGACATCTCAGAAGCAGGGTGGTGCAGTTGCCAACTGGAAATACCAGGAATCAGGCCAAATGGCAGCACATCTCATCTTTACACAGTGTCAACAGCAAAGGTCACAGCACAGCAAAACTAGCTATTTTCTAGAGGTCATTAGCACCACTAACATGGACACATTTTTCACCAACAAGTACAGCCTAAGTACCAATCCACTATGCTGACATCAGACTGCTCACGAGCCATCTCTCCCTTGATGTTGTGACCTTGCAAACCCACCTCTGCCTCAATGTCACACATGCATGCCCAGCTCTGTAAGAAATCATCCTGTCTCACAGTGAGTTGGTACTGAGAAGTGTTATATAAGCCTTGTAAAACTGGTTTGCTTATTTTGACAAATTAGAAATGGGTAAGAATTTCCCAACCATACAATAGCTCTGCCATTTCTCACTTACATTCTGTCACATCTGGAAGAGAAAGAAGTAAAACTACAGGCAGGTCCCATAGACTCCTACAACATAGTTCATTTATGTCAGAGCCCATGAGATACCAGGAGCAATGTTTAATAACACCAGCACACTCAGTTCTGGTAGTTAGCACAGCCAGGGAACATTTTTAAAAGTTTGGTTGGTTGGTTGGTTGGTTGGTTGGTTGGTTGGTTGGTTGGTTGGTTAATTAGTTTTGGTTTTTCAATACAGTGTTTTTCCATGCAGTGCTAGTTGTCTGGGAACTCCCTCTGTAGGCCAGGCTGGCCTGGAACTTAGAGATCACCTGTCTCTGCCTCTAGGATACTGGGATCAAAGGTGTGCACCACCACCCCCTAATGCATTTTAAAATCTTTATTAATTTGGGGCTAAGAATGTTGGAAGAGTGCTTGCCTAAAGCATATGAAGCTCTAGGGTTGATCTCCAATACCACATAAGCCAGAAGTGATGATACACACCTGGAATCCCAGTACTCAGCACGTGTGAGGGAAAGTAGGAGGATCAGAAACTCAAGGTCATCCTTGGCTTCATAGCAAGTTCAAGGCAAGAATGGGACAAGTATGTCCTCTAAATTTTTTTTAATTTATATGTATTTACATATTTTAGTATATTTAAATTTTTAATTATATGTATAATTTGTACACATGTAGATAAAAACTAAAGTCGGCAAAAAAGACAAAACTAGACAAATAAAGAATATGGTACATGTATGATTAGCAGTGGAATAATGTACAGCTCACATATTGGTAAATGATCCAAGATTATCACCTCCTTAACACACACACACACACACACACACACACACACACACACACGCATATGCCTACCTCTAGTGTTACTAAGTTTTCTTTCCTAGAAAGAAGATCTCCGATGAGCTCTAGGTTCATAAAAGAGTGAATCTGGGAAATGAAGGGGGAGTGTGGATCTGGAAGAGGAGAGAGGTGGGGAGGAGCTGGGGGGAGTGGGGGGGAGGGGAAACTGTGGTCTGGATGTATAGTGTGAAAAAAGAATATTTTCAATAAAATAAAAACCATAATTGTTTGATATATTTATGGAATGGGAATCTTTGGTGCATAGGCAATTAAGTTCTAATCACCAGGAAGAAGCTGCAAAGTGCCAGACACCCAGCACTGAAACTTAAATCCCTGCATATTTATTTATCCACCTGTTGCATCCAAACACACCAAACACTGTTGAGAAGTAGCCTGGGCTATTTATCAATTAAAGTACAAAGGAGGAAAATGCTAGAAAGTACAAGACCGCCTTAAGTAGTTCATTAAACAGTAATCGGGCATCTTGCTCATCAATTAGTGAATAGAATGACAGTCAAAGATAATAGGCTCCTCCAAACAAATGGATTATCTTTTTCCTTCCAATATTCTCTAAGCAACTACAGAGGCTCATGTTTTATGAAGCAAACATAAGGGTACGTGATCAAGGAGGAAAAGTCAACAGCAGTGATAATGATACAAAAAGAAAAAAAGAAGTTAAATCAAAGGCTGAAGAGATGGCTCAGTTGCTAAACCATTTGCTATGTGAGCATAAAGACTGGAGTTCATGGATACCTGGAACCATGATAAGTGCTGGGTGGGCATGGCAAGGGGCGCACCATGGCTGGCAAGATGAGCCCCGCTACAGAGGGTTGGGTTTATGGGAGAGACCGTGACTCACTGAGTAAGGTGGAGAAGGACTGAGTGTGATCCCTGACAACCGTGGGCCTCCACTTTCTCACCACACGCCATGAAGCCAGAATGAAACTTCCTTTTGTTTGTTTGTTTGTGTTCCTCAAGTATTCTGTCACAGCCATGGAAAGCTGACTAACAGAGGGGCAGAATAAAAACAAGGAAGTCCAGGCAACGGCTAAGGCTAAAACTAAAGCAGTGGAGTAGAAATAAAGAACACAAGCTCAAGAAACATTTGAAAGGCGTAACCAACAGAACAAAGTAGAAATAATCCTAACAAAATACAATCTTCTCACAGCATGTAGCCACTGAGGCTAGAATAAATCACTACACAGCCAGCTCTCAGCCACTAATGTAGCCCATGGAAACAGTCTGTTCTGGGGGAAACCTATTAAATATAAGTGGCACACTACTTCACAGAAATCTATTTACTCTTCTTTTTAAAAGTCTATTTTACTTTAAATGGGATGGGTGGTAGGGTCTTACTGGTGACAATGGATTGATCCAGTAAGCTTAGCAAAATAATGATGGGGTATTTTAGGCTGAAGATTAGGTTACCATTTAAATGTGGGTTGCCCCGAGTTCCACCCCAACGCTCCACAGAAGCAGATGTGCAAGTGCGTGCACACACACACATACATACATACATACATACACACACACACACAGAGAGAGAGAGAGAGAGAGAGAGAGAGAGAGAGACGTGCTCTGGAGCCAGAAAAACTCATGCATGCACTCAATCACTCACATGAAGATATTTTGCTTAAGTTTTTGTTGTTACTTTTTGTACAGGATCTCATAGAACCCAGATGGGCCTCAAATTCTCTATGTAGCCAAGTCTGGCTTTGAACTTCTGATCTTCTGGTCTCTATGCAACAAATGCTAGGATTACAGGCATGTTGCCCATGCCTGGTTGGTAACAGAGTATCTTAAAAACCAAATCATCTTCCTAACAAACTCTCACCTCCAACCCACAAAAAAAAAAAAAAAAAAAAAAAAAAAAAAAGAGCTATTTTTAAAGGAAGCATATTTCCTTTTCAGGGTGAGAGAGAGCAAGTATACGAGAGAGTACTCTCATCTATAAATCCTCCACTAAGCTACACTCCCAAACCTTTTGACTCCTATTTTTAAATAAACTCTATAATTTCAAAGCCAAAGTTAAAAGTGTCTATTAAAACATATCAGAATTCGTTTTTATCAAAGACATATAAGTTCAGCAAGCTGCGTTTCCAAAAGGGAACTTCCTCTATTTACTATGAGCCTAGATAACACAACTGGCTCCTTTCCCCTCCAAAGCAGAAAAGCCCTGGAAGTACAGTATGGAAACTTATTGGGAAGGTCCCCTTGGCACTGTGAAAAGAACTATTAACTTGAATATAGAGTAACTAAGTCATTATCAAGCTGTGGGACATAAATTAACCTTTCTGTGCCTCAAATTTCTCATCAGTTAAATAAGAGATTTGATTGCATGCAATCAAAGATCCTTCTCAACTCTAAAAGGCCGAGAATTTATGATGCCTCTTCAGGATTAATCGTGTATTTTCTCCATTAGTCTATCGTTTTATCTGAATCACTTTTAATATAATAAACCTTCCCCCTCCTTTAGTCTCATTCTGCCTCTTTCCTTTATTTGGGGTATACTTACAGAATACAACTAATTCTACCATGAGTCGAGCAAAGCTTTGTCAGGGAGTAAATAAGTATAGAAGGACACTCTAAAATCAGAAGGATGGAATTATTGATTTTGAATGTCAACACTATCAAAGGAACTTTCTATATCTTCCTGGTGACATGGTACCCATCAGCCCCATGTGGCTACTGACACACAAAATATAGATAGTGTGACTAAGGATCTGGATTTTAATTTCATCAATTGGCGGTTTAGGGGGAAAGAAGATTTGAGACAGGGTTTCAGGGAGCTCGGGTTAGTCACAAACATGTAGCCAAGAATCACACCAGAATTCATGAGTTTCCACCCTCCACCTCCCAAGCACTGAGATTGTGGGTGTGTTCCACTGGGCTTAATTACAGCAAATTAATATTTAAATACCTGGAGTTGGGGAAAAAAACTAAGTTAATCAAGTGCTTGCTTTACAAACTTGAAGATCTGCTAGGAAGCAATCTATAGATGGTGTTTAATAGAAAAGGCAGACACAAGGCACTTATACAATCCCAGCACTGCAGAGACTGAGCAGAGCAGACCCTTGGAGTTTGCTGACCTGAGACCCTTTCTCAAAAACCAAACAAGCCATTCATTTGGTGGTGGTTTATGCCTTTAATCCCAGCACCTGGGAGGCTGAGGCAGATGGATATCTGTGAGTTCGAAGCCAACCTGGTCTACAGAATGAGTCTGAGAATATGCCCCAAAGCTACACAGAGAAACCCTGTCTAAAAAAAAAAAATACAAACAAACAAGGATAGATAGACACAGGGCAGGGATGGGCTCAGACTGCAGACTGGACTGGGTCTGGAAGCTGAGAAGAAAAGCCCTTTAAACTCTGAGGAATTTCACAGGTTGAGAACATTCCCTGAGAGACTTGGTGTCATATGGCTCACTAAGATCTGTTATGGACAGACCTGGACATTTCCTCATAACCAAACTTGAAGATCACATGATGTCAGGGTAGAAGGATTTATCATGTTAACTTTAGGATGCTGGTTCCATTATAGACACACTTTTATAAAACAAAAAATCCAGAAAAGGAACTGCCAGACACAGGATCAAAAGCACGACTGTCTATGA